TAAAAAAACAAATAACTTTATTAAAAAAAAAGACCAATTATTCATCAATACTAGAGAAAATATTTAGGTTGGTTAATTTTAAATAAGAATGTCGTAAATTTATTCAAAAGTCCTCATAGGAAAGATAATAAAAAGAAAAAAAAATTGGCTAATTTATATTTTTATCCTTTTATTTGTGTCAATCTACAATTTTAGTTTTTTATTTTAAAATAAAGATATTCAGTCCTGTAAATTTTAAAATGTAAAATTTTGATCCTCCCTTTAAATTTTCATATGAATCATTAAGTTTTAACGTTAATCATACTTAATGATGTGATATTTAGTAATATGACATTTAGAGATAAATAAAATAAATAAATATGTATATAAATAAGATCTATTAATAAAATAAATGTTAACCATTCATTAAAATAGATAAAAATGAAGATTGTTTACATAGTATATTTATTTTTTATTTTTACATGTCACATTACTAAATATCACATCAATTAAGTGGTAATAGGTCATCGACAATGTCAAAAATTTGATAGTCAATAAAAATCAAATTATTAGGATCAAAATTTCGTGTTTTTTAAAATAAAAAATTAAATATCTTTATTTTAAAATAGGGAAACCAAAGTTACGAATTAAGAACGATAGACAAACTAAAAGTACAATTTAGTCGAACTATTTTATTTTTTAAAGTTAACTTTTACATAAGTTAAAAATAAGTTTTTGAAAAAACTAATATGAAAGAGTTTGTACATAATTAATGTATACACAAGCTAAATTTAGCATGTGAAGGATTTTGTTTCATTTTTTTCTTTCTAGTTTCTTCTCCTATAAGTGCTTTTGGATAAAGTTATGACCTTAATCATTTAAGTTAAGGTTTTTTTCATCTTTATCGGAGAATGTAGCTAATCACCATTAATATGACCAATTGTTTGAAAGTTATATGGCTAACACCAAGCAGTTGACCAATTATGTGACCTTACTTTAGGAAATTTACTATAACAAAACTTTGTTATTTTTTATTGTATTAAAAAAAATTCAATGTATTTATTGTAAAAAAAAAACTTGAATTTATGAGCTTTCTCTTTCTACTGGTTTAAGGGTTCATATTATTAATTATTTAGAGGCATATCCTCGGTTAAGTAGCTGGACAATTGGAACATTATTAATAGTCGTCACATACTAGAGACAACTGTACAACCTCACCACAAAAGACATTTGTTGGATGCCATACAATAACCATCATACGGGGCATAAGTTTCACACCATCTCATTATTCTTTGGTTACCTTAGATGAAGGTCTATGATGTACATGCACTTGTCAAATAGAGTATTGCACCAACATTGACACATCCACATTGTTCCTCAATCGTCTTCTAAGTTATGAGATATACCTACTACTCTGGAAGAGATAGATGAGAGTTGGTTCCATTTTGCAAACAACAACCTAATGTCAATTGGCGAACAAGTGATGCACCCCTCTAATGTTGTTGTAGCCTACATGTTCTAATCCTAGAGGATCTCCCACTTATTCTTGATACCCCCACCTCAGGGATAGGCACCTAGAGTCTCACTCATGCCAATGCATAATCCTATGAAAAATGTTGTATCATTTAATGTTAGCAATCAAAAATTGTTTTATGCAGTAGAAATCTACTAATTTTACAATGTTATTATACCTTTCTAGTTTAAGGCTATTTTATGTTTAATTTTCTATCTATGTAGGCTACATGTTAGAGTATCTTAAACCTCTTACAAAATTTACCCTGGCTACAAACATATATAGTCATACCAAACAGATACTTGGATTGAAAAGTAGTGTAACAAATGATGAAAATGTATATGTGCACAACATGGATAATAGGGTTAAGGGTAAGCGTGGGTGAGAGAACTAAGGGAAGAGAAAATGATTGTATATATTACACATCATGTATGCATTCACATGTTGAAAAACTTAACAAAGTCATGTAAACTCTACTTACAATACTTTACATGATTTATGTTGCCATTAATCAGGAGATTGACATGAGTGAGGTTTTTGACTTTGTTAACTTTGTCAATAGAGAATATGTGCAAAAAGTTGTTAGCAAATTAAATGTCATATATATATATATGTGTATATATATATATATGTGTATATATATATATATATATATATATATTAGTTTGAGTCATGTACTATATGTATATGGTGTCTTAGATAATGGAAATGTACATGTGCACTTATTTGATGATGATATTATTATGCATTATGTGTGGACATTTGATCATGTAAGCAAAATCTATTTTTGTAGTTTGATCATTTATTATTCAGTATATGGGAGAGGATTGATGGTTGGTGTTATGCACTAAGCAATCCAAAATTACAATGACCATTATGGAGCACCCACTACCGAATGGTATATTGTATTTTGTAACTCCCATTTCAAAATGGTATATAATGACTTAGAAGACTAGTTTTATAATGATCTTGTATTCTATATCATTCATGCTGAAATGATTTATTATGTTGCAAAACATCCATTTCAAAATGGTATATGGAACATCTATTATGGAATGATATATTGTGTTTCAAAATACCTATTCTAAAATAATCTATTTGGTTCTAGAACACCAATTCCAAAACAATAACATTATGTTTTGAATTATGTAATCCAAAATATGTAGGATGGATGTTTTCGAAAGAAGTGGAGCATAGTTTTAACCTTTAAACAATTTGACAGGTGTATGTATTAAAATGAAGGGTGGAGGAAGAAAATCTTCATATAAAAAGACTCGACACATGTAAATAGGTTTAGTAGCCAAAGGTTAAACTTCAACACTAGTCTACATCTTAGATGTTAGCTTAAATTAATTTGTAAAGGTACCATTGTGTAGACACATGATCTTTTAAGCTCAAAAGGTAATGTATAGCTATATAAGCAATTGAAGGTGGCCATAAATGCACTTACACTTGGATTATCAAAAGGTATATATAGTGCACCTAAAAAATCTAAATCTTTGAAAAACTCATACTCACTTAAGTACTAATATATTTGTAAATGGTCATTGTTATCGCATGAAAGTTATATTAAGTTATTATTGACTTCATTAACTAATTTCTAACTCTTTAACATCCATAATCTACTAACACAATTCATAAAGAATGTTACACGAGAGACTAATTTCAGTCTTATTATTGTCATTGTAATTTTTATTTATAAAAAGTGTTTGCATAATTAAATTAAAGACAAGTATTACAATATTTTTTAATTTAAATATGTTATGATTTAGAATTAAATATATATTAGTAGTATCAATTAATTAATTATAATTATAAATATATACTTATATTATTAACTTAAATATTAAAATCATGATAAACATATAATAACTATCTTAATTAATATTATGCAATTTTTATTAATTAAAAACAAATAATTTTCATTTTAATGAGAAAAATGAATGATATATTGCCACATAATATTTATTTACGTGAGATAATCTCATTTGTATATATTATTGATAATATTAAATATAGCTAAAATATATATTTACATTATTAATTAAATATTTAAATCATATTTTTTAAAATTAATTTAATTATCACAACTATACATTTTGTGAATTAGAATATAAATAAAAAAATATTTTCGTTTTAGCGAAAAATTAAGAGGATGGATTAGCGTAAGATTTTAAAAGATTTTTTTAATAATTTATAAAATTAATAAAAAAGTTATCATGATTTGGTTTTTCACATTCCTTTAAACTTTTTTATTTTCTCGACTGATCTACTCAATCATCTCATTATTTTAAAGTTATTTGCACTTCTTTTTTATTTCATCATTTATTTATAGTAGATGCATCATTGTACATCTTTTATTAGTATAGATAAGTTTTATAGCATTCAATTAGGATTATATTTTAAAAAATGTGTATCAAAATATAGTGATATTTTTTTTTACTTACAAAAAGTCTTCTGGCATTCAAAAGCAAACAAACTTATTGTCATCGTTACTATATAATTTGTTTTTTTTTTCATTTACAAAAAATCTCTCGATATACAAAAGCATACAAAATTTGATGATTATTTTATAAGATTTTTTGGGTATAATTTATGCATACTAAATCTATTCAAAACTCTTTGTTTTTTTTAATCTTTCTTTTCACAATCAACATTGACATCAAATTATTAATATTTATGTTTTACTTGTTAAATATTTTAAATTTGACTAATGATTTTTTCTAAAATCTAATATTGAAATATTATTTTTTAAAACAAATATTCATTGTGGCTGCTGCAATAATTTCATAAACATATACTCAAATTGATCCACAGTTAAATAGTCGACACAATTTTGTGTAAATATTTTAAAAGCCATACGTAAATATCTTTAATCTAACAATATTTAATTATTATATTATATTCCTTCCTAAAATTATGTTTCCTACAAATTCAATAGACGCCATCAATAGTTATTATTTATCCTTCAATATAAGCCGGTTTCATATTCATTTGTTAATAAGAAATAAAAATTATATTAATTTTTGAATCTAATTTTTATAATAATAATATTTTTTTTATTAATTCAGGTAACTTTGAATGCTTGATATAAATCTACGAATCCTTTAAAATCCATAAATTCATTGATAATTTTAAATTTTACAAATTCTTATGATATAAGTTTATTTAAATTTAAAATACACAGTCAGTATTAAAGTTTATAAAAAAAAATCTATTTTTTTTTTGAAAAATCTACAAGGCTTTTGCGTAATACAGTAGTATTTTGAAATCCCAATTAAATTAAATCATATAAAAAAAGAAATGACGTGTGATGTGATTTTTTTGAATACATTGCTTGAAGGCATTAAAGTTGCGTATTGATTTGATTTTTGGGTTGGACAGGAAGAGATGAAGGGCGGAGTAAATTAATTTGGTAGGTCAGCGAGGGAAGCATAGCAATTAGCAGCCCCATTTTATTTTATTTTTTAATTTATATATATATATATATATATTTTTAATTTGATGAAATCCGTCGGTCCCCTTCCGCTACCCTAATTAAATTGAAATAAAATTGTAGTTGTGGTGAACGACTCAACTCCTCTTTCCCCTCACCAATCAGCATCCGACGCCGTCAGCCTCCAACCACACCCAAACCCTTCCGCTGTCAACCATGCTATTCGCTCACTGCCTCTGCTCTTCCGGTATTCATCTTCGCCTCCAATAGATCCGCCTCGAAGAGCTGCTTTTCTCGGAGGGAGGGGAACAAATGGACCAACCTCTTCTCGACGACATAATCAATCGCCTTCTCGAAGTTCGCGCGCGTCCCGGCAAGCAGGTGCAGCTCTCCGAGTCCGAGATCCGCCAGCTCTGCGCCGCCTCCAGAGATATTTTCTTGCAGCAACCTAATTTGTTGGAGCTTGAGGCGCCTATTAAGATTTGCGGTAATCTTCTTTTCCCTTTTCAACTCGCTTTTACTTTTTACTCCACCATCACCCCTTCCCGAACTGCCTCTTTAGGGTTTAGGGTTTCCGGCTTGTTATCTCTGGTGAAATCCATTGCTCATTGCACTTCACTCTGCCTTCACCAAATGCTGTTGGGGCCTTGTCTTCTCATTCCTGTTGAAAGTTGAAGAATTGGGGCCTTCTATTGATTAATCCCCTTTTGTTTTCTATGTTCCTCTATTGAGCCTTATTTGTCTGTGATCTGCCTGTGTCATCCTAGAGTTAGTTCTCTGTTACAGTGGGATAATGGTCGGTTGTGGATGCTGTGGTATAGAAAATGAAAGCCATACCTTAGTTCACTATTCATAAAATCAAATAGTTTACTGCTTTAAAAGAGTTGAGCTGGTTTGTTTTATATGATATTGGAAACACAGGCGGTTTCAACTGTGCTCAAGGCTAATTTCTAAACTACACAATGGTTTTACACTGAAATGTCAGGCAGGGAAAGAATAGTTTTACTGTAATAGAGGAAACTATAATAATATAATAATATTAATTACAAATGTGAAATCTTTGAGATCAAGTTGTGAGGTCATTGAAGTGCTGAAGTTATTAACAGGGGAGCATAAGGATGAATGCAACATTACAAACTTTTTTATGAGGTATTTTTAGTTATTTATCAGATGTCTAATACATGAAAAATATGTTATATCATATGGGAATTAAAAATTTTAAGCCATGGTGTGGATAGCAGATGTGTTTTTTATTCAAAAAAAACATAATTGATCTCCGCTGATGACCTTAATGTGATTCAGTTGGCTTAGCCATGCTTATTATTGTGTCTAGGAATCGAAGTGTTCAAGCTAACTTAAATTTGTAAGCAGGGTTTCTGAAACTAGTGGTTCAAGTTTTGGTGTAAGGAAAACTTTCCATGATATGTTTATTTTTTATTTTATTATATATATATATTTATATATATATATAAGACTCTGGAAAAAGTGAGCTTTTAAATTAGTTAATTTTAGGGTTTTTTGACTTTTACTTCTCAAACTTGATCGCATTGCAGAGTTTGCAATATAGGCAATTGTGGTTGTCTTAAATTTCATGAGTGTGTTGCATTACTAGTGTTGTGTTGTTGGTCAGGCACGTTTTGTTGTGCCACCATTTTGCAGCAGTTGAATTCGGTGGGTAGGTGGAGGATGAAGCAGCGATTAGGGTTCTCACTCAGGTGTTGTGCACTTGTGTGGGTTTGGTATTGGGGCATTAGGCCTTGTGGGTTTCGTTCAAGACATTAAATTGACTTTTTAAAAATTTACATACAGGTGTTATATGTGTCACGTGAGTTTTTAAAAGTCACTTATTTTGGTTCCCTCTTCTATTTACTTTTTTTTTTTTGTTTATATTGGGATGACTTGAATTTTAAACTAAAAAACCCAATAGCCTACAAATGCCTTTTGTTTATCCAACTTATTTTTATTTGCATATAGCTTAATATATATATATATAT